AGTTTGTTTAAATGTATGACCTTGAATCATATTCAAGGTCACAAGGAGCAAATATGTTTAAAATATTTCAACAACTTGTTCTGAATAACCAAAAGGCTCAGGATGTTGATATTTAGTTAGTAGCATATGCTGGGATCAAGGACTACTATGTTTGTTAAAGTGAATGACTTTGACTTATATTCAAGGTCACAGGGGTCAAATTTGTTTAAAACCTTTAAACAACCTCTTATGAATAACCATGGGTCCCAGGATGTTTATACTGTGCAAGTTGCATCCTGAGATGAAAGGCTATACGATGTGTTCAACATAATGACTTTGTTCGACTTTCAATCACAGGGGTGAAATGTTTCAAAAAAAATTAATACTGATATTTTGCCTGTAGCTTTATTTTAGATCACTTTTAAGGTTACAAGTGTGAGTTTTATACCAGGTGAGCGATGCAGGCCCATTGGGCCTCTTGTTGTATAAATGGAGGGTATGGTCCCCCTGGGGGCAGAGGGGCAGGGCCAAATAGGGGGAAAGTAGGTTAATCTTTAAAAATCTTCTTCTTCTCAACCAATAGAAGGATTTTGACAAAATTTGTTCTAGAGCATCTTTGGACAAAGGAGACTCAAGTTTGTATAAATGGAGGGTGTGGCCCCTCTGGGGGCATAGGGGCGGGGCCCAATAGGGGAAATAGAGAAAAATATTTTCTCTTCTGTAAAAATGAAGGGATTTAAACCAAATGTGGTCTGAAGCATGCTTAGGGAAAAAAAACTCAATTTGTTCAATTTGTATAAAAAGGTGCTCATGTGAGGAACATGGAAACTCATTTTCTTGGTGTCTTTCCCACCAAAACAGATTTATATGTAGTTCTTCTTGCAACTTTGTTTCTTGTACTCCTTTGATAAACTATTAAGGCCCCTGGGGCTCTTGTTAGAAAATCCTTGTCTGCGCTCTAGCGGCTTCATTCCTTCAGGGATTTTGATCAAACTTCATACAATTACATAGGACCATAATATCTCGGACAAGTTCGAGTTTCACAGTTGTCTGGTCAAAGTCAAGGTCACCGTTACTATTTTCTTGTATTATTAGCCCACCTGCCCGAAGGTGCCTCAAATATGTTTAAATCTTTCAGTGACTTGTTCTAAATATTCAAAAGGTCCAGGGTAATGATATTTGGCCAGAAGCATGCTGGGACAGAATGCTATAAACTTTGTTCAACTTAATGACCTTGTATGACTTTCAAGGTCACAGGCGTCATATGTTTGAAACATTTTATAGATTCTAATGAATCGAACACATATATTTTGCCTGTAGCTCTATATTAGTCCACTTCTAATACAAATGTATTACAACTGTGAGATTAATATCAGGTGAGCGATTCAGGCCCATTGGGCCTCTTGTTATAAATCATTACAGTGTTATAGCTAGCGGGGGCCGGTAGGGGACATGTATTGCTTAAGCAATACTCAGTATGCTTGTTATTTCAGTCTGTTTATTTTATAAATAGTACTTACTATGCATAATATTATAGGTTGTTTGTATCGCAGGATTGTCAGAATTTGAAATGTGATATTGTATGTTGGATTATGTATACGTTGTGTGTCTTGGAGGTTTGTCCGACTTAAAACTGATAGTGCATGTGTTGATATGTGTACAGTTTGTATGTAGAGTTTGCCATTTTTGTTATGTCTTGTACAGGACTTCGACTTTCACACATCAGAAGGAGTACCACGGGCACACATAAACCATGATGAGGTAGTAGATCCAAAAGTATTGGAGGAACGATTGCAGCAACAACAGCGACAGCTTCATGAGGATGCCAAGTGGTTAGAAGCCTCTGAAACAAAACTGGTTAGTGTTGTAATTGTTACATATGGCTCGAAGAATTTAAATAAAATTTTGCAGGAGATATTTGGGATTCCGATTTGAAAAGAATAAGGGTCTTGCATTTCTCGGGGAAAGAAAAAGACGACATTTTGGGCATTTAAAAAAAGTTTCTAAGAAACCTACAGTTTGATTTGCTTTTTCTGAAAAACCGGCAGGCCAAAAGTAATGATATTTTGACTTGGCCAAAAACTTGCTGGCGTTGAGTGCTACAAATTGTGCGAAAAAAATACTCTGACCTATACATTCAAGGTCACGGGGGTTAAATATGTTTAATCTCTTAAACGACTTCTCCTAACAAACAGAAAGACATAAAGTCATGATATTACGCCAGTTACTTGCTTGCATGGTCAAATTTGTCAAAACAACCAAATTAATTCTGAACAATGAAAAGACCCTCAAGTCATATTTAGCCAATAACTTGCTGATCATGACATTAAGTACTACAACATACATGTATGCGAAAATAAGTTATCTTGACCTATATTCAAGGTAAGTGTTGTCCAAATTTATTTAATTTCAACAGATTTTATTGACTTTGTATATGTCAATTAGGATTGGACATCAGTCTAGGCCAATTTGATTAAACACTCGAAACAACTCCAGCTTGTTGGCATGAAGTGAAATTAAATTGGAGAAAAGAAGTAACCTTGGCATTTAAGGTTATAGGTGTCAAATTTGCTTAAACACTTAGTTACTGTTTGTAAATAACTGCAAGGTTTAGAGTCATGATATTTGTTCTACATAGTAGCTTGCTTGAATGGAGAGGTACAAAAAGTTGTGAAAAGAAATAATCATATATTCAAGATTCAAATTTGTTTAATACTTAAGTGACTCCTGCTGAAAAACCAAAAGGCTAAGGATCATATTTGGTCAGAAGTTTGTTAGCATGGAGTGCTAAAAATTTAAAACGAAAGGCCACATTAATCGGGTGAGCATCTTCAGACCCTTCTGGCCTCTTTTTATTTCATATTTCATAATGCATTTCCATCACATTACAATTAGACCATTATTAGCTCACCTGGCCCGAAGGTCTCACGTTTCCGCCTTGGGAGGGGGTAAACTTTACTATAGTTTATATAGGGAAATCACATTTTGGACCAACATTTATTTGATCATTCACTTGGCCCTTCTGGCCAAGTGAGCTTATCCCATGGCGCAGCGTCTGTCAACTTGTTCCTTTAAAACGCTACTAGTCCTGAACGGCTCACAGGATTTTGACCAAATTTGGTCTGTAGCATCATTGGCCGAAGGGTTCTCAGTTTTTATAAACGGAGGGTATGGTCCCCCTGGGGGCAGAAGGGCAGGGCCAAATAGGGGGAAAATAGGTAAATCTTTAAAAATTTGACCAAATTTGTCCTAGAGCATCTTTGGACAAAGAAGACTCAAGTTTGTATAAACGAAGCTTGTGGCCCCTCTGGGGGCGGAGGGGCAGGGCCCAATAGGGGAATTAGAGGATTTTTTTCCCCTACTATACAAGTGAAAGGATTTAAACCAAATGCAGTCTGAAGCATGATTAGGGACGAAAGAATCAATTTTGTATAAACTGAGGTGTGTGGGCCCCCTTCTTTGGGGCAGATGGTTGGGGCCCAATAGGGGAAATAGAGGAAAACATCAAAGATCCTTCTCCTTTTATACTGATGAAGGGATTTTGACCAAATTTTGTCTGGAGCATCATTGGTCAAAAGGCACTCAGTTTTGTATAAATGGAGGGCATGGAAACTCATTTTCTTGGTGTCTTTCCCACCAAAACAGATTTATATGTAGTTCTTCTTGCAACTTTGTTTCTTGTACTCCTTTGATAAACCTGTATTGTACTCAGCAGGTTTTAAATTGAAAAATAAAATACCAGGTGAGCTATTAAGGCCCCTGCATGGGCCTCTTGTTATATTCAGTGCCCAGGTGACCATTCAGTGATATGTAATGATACAATTTTCACAAATCTGTCATGCAGATTGTCTATCTACTAATGCTCTGGCAAAGTTAAATCATAAACACATTTTCAGTTCTGTTTATCAATGGATAAATTGATAAACAAGTCAAATGAACATGAAATTAAAGACATGAAACATGCAAAGTCATGCTATTTGGCCGGAAGCTTTGTTGGTAAGAGCCCGAAAAAGCGAAATTTACCTTGACCTACTTTCAAGGTCACTGGGGTCAAATATGTCAAACACTTAAAACAACTTCTTCTGAAGAACTGAAAGGTATAAAATCTTCATATTGGGCTGGTAGCTTCTTTTGATGGAGCAGGATAAAGTTTGAGAATGAAAATGACCCTGTCCTACTTTCAAGGTCACTGGGGTCAAATCTGTCAAACACTTCATATGAAGAACTGATAGGTAAAGATTTTTAATATTTCACTGGTAGCTACTTGGAATGGCTCAACAAATTTTGAGAATGAAAATGACCATGACCTAAGTTCAAAGTTGACAGTATAATATTTAATGACAATATTTTGTTATGACATCTTAATTATCAAGGCAAGTGATACAGGCACTCTGGGCATCTTGTTACTTCATTCAACTGAACATTATGAATCCATTTATGTTAGCTTGGAAGTTCAGAATTTGAATATTTAAAAATGTATTTCAGTTTAAAAACAAGTCTTCATCACCAGGTTTTAAATGAAAGATGATAAATATCATATGGTGGAATAGCTAAATTGCTCAAGAGGTTTAAAATATGAATGTTAGCTAACCTGATAGAATATCAGTATCTAACTGTTAACATGTGATATGTTCGAATAGTGACATATGGCAATGAATCTGTTATGTTTTACAGGGCAGGGATAAGTGGCAACCGTCTGGCCTGAAGCCTGATGTAGGTAGTAAAGAGAACTCACCACCACAGCCTGCAATACCACAGCCCCCCACCCCACAGCCAACAGCAGAGGTGCAGACTCGACCAACCAATACATACTCCAGCACCTCCAGTAATAGCCATGCCTCCAGTAAGTACATGATGATGGATTGGTCAAAAGCTTTTGTAAGGAAAGTATATAGTATTATAAAAGATAAACCCTTGGTATCAAGAGACACAATGGTTATTCTTGGTATAGAGACAATTCAGAAAATACAAAGTTGGTATCAACAATAGACACTTGGTCAACACATTGAGAAGTAAAATGAACATTGCAAGAGAGATTGAATCTCCTTGAAAGGTTATCTCCTTTGTTTTGTGGAATTCTATTCAAAAGTCATTTTTAGCTCACCTAGCCCGAAAACACTAACATGCTGGGATAAAGGGCTACCAAGTTTGTTCAAACAAATGACCTTTACTTATATTCAAGGACACAGGGGTCAAATATGTTTAAAACCTTTTAACAACCTCTTTTGAATAACCAAGAGGCCTAGGATAATGATATTTGGTCAGTAACATGATGTGATGAAGGGCTACCAAGTTTGTTGAAGCAAATGACCTTTACCAATTTTCAAGGTCACAGGGGTCAAATATGTTTAAATCATTAAATGACTTGTTCTGAATATTTAGCCAGAAGTATGCTGGGACGGAAGGCTATAAATTCTGTTCAACTTAATGTCCTTGTTCGACTTTCAAGGTCACAGGCATCATCTGTTTAAATCATTTAATAGATTCAAATGAATCGAACACAGATATTTTGACTGTAGATGTATATTAGTCCATACGTGCGAGATTAATACCAGGTGAGTGATTCAGGCCCATTGGGCCCTTTGTTATATTTTGCGAGTAGCATGCTGGGATGAAGGGCTACATAGTTTGTTCAAATGAATAACCTTGACTTGAAGTCAAGGTCACAGGGGCTACATATGTTCAAAACCTTTTAACAAATTCTTCTCAATATCGAAGAGGCCTACGGTGATGTTATTTGGCCAGTAGCATGCTGGGATGAAGGGCTAACAAGTTTGTTCAAATGAATAATCTAGACAAATATTTAAGGTCACAGGGGTCAAATATGTTTAAAACCTTTAAACAAGTTCTTCTGAATAACCAAAAGGCCTAGGATGATGCTTTTTGGCCAGTAGCATGATGTGATGAAGATTCTAACAAGTTTGTTCAAATGAACAACCTTGACTTATTTTCAAGGTCATATATGTTAAAATATTTGAACGACTTCTTCTGAATAACCAAGAGACCTAGTGTTATTAGGTCACCTGAGACAAAGTCTCAAGTGACCTATTGCGATCGCCTTTTGTCCGCCGGCGTCCGGCGTGCATCAGTAAACAATTCACATTTTCGACTTCTTCTCCCAAACCCCTGAACCAATTTCAATGAAATTTTCTCAAGACCCAGATATGGTAGAATCAAATACTCTTCACAGGTGGAAGGGTCTTAAGGTGCTTAACCAAAATTGTGAATTTCTTGACCCTGGAGTCTCACGTTTCCCTCTTGGGAGGGGGTCAACTTTACTATAGTTTATATAGGGAAATCACATTTTGGACCAACATTTGTTTAATTTTCATTGGAAGTAATTCAATTTAGGTTAGCATTATCAGTATTAGGTAGCAGTTTGATAGTATGCACATATAAGCCCTGACTGACCCCCAGGGGCTGATGGGTGGGGCCAAAAAGGGTTGAATTGATTGAAATTTCAAAAATCTTCTTCTCAAAGACCAAGATATGGTAGAATCAAACACTCTTCATAGATGGAAGGATCTTAAGGTTTATGACCCCAGGGTCTCANGCAAATGATACTTTGAATATTACATGTTAATAACTTGATTAGAATTATAACCCTGAGTTGACAGTTTGATACTTTGATTTTTTTTAGCCAGCCCTACCCCCAAGGGCTGTAGGGTGGGGCCCAAAGGAGTCAGTGTGCTAAAATTTCTTGTTTAGAATCAGAGGTGCTAATTTTAAATACTTTTCAGTCTTGAATCTGTATGCTAGATATTGAATAAGGTGGTTTTATTGTTTTTTGTCACTTTGAATAATACTTCTGTTCATGTTTTAATGTTTTAAAAACAAAAATCAACTCTCTGTATAAATATATCAGAACTCGGGTGACCGTTAAGGCCCATGGGCCTCTTGTTTATTTTTTTATACCGAAGTTTGTCTATTGGCTAATAAGGGGAGACATATGTTTTTGTTCACAAAAACAAAACTCTAGTTAATATAAAGTATATTCACTAGTAATTTGTATTATATTGATTTTCTAGGTGGCAGTAGAAGCAGTGTAAACAGTGATCCAGAGATGCCATCTCCAACCAGCAAGGTATCGCTTACTTACATTGCCTTAATATTTCTCAGTTTTTAGCTCACCTGCCCGAAGGACTCGCAACAAAGTTTGTGCATGCAAATGACATCAACCTACTTTCAAGGTCACAGGGATCAAATAGGGCAAAAACTGTAAAAATCTTCTTTTTAAGAACTGAAAGGTTTTAGAATCTTAATATTTGGCTGAAAAGTTGTGAATTGAAATGACCTTGACATACTTAAAAGGTCAAAAGGGTAAAAAATGTCAAACACTTAAAAAGACTTCTGAAGATCAGAAAGGCATAGCTTCTTAATATTTGGCTGGTAGTGTCCTGAGATGGAAACCGTCAAAGTTTTCAAATGGCAATGACCTTTACCTACTTTCAAGGTCACAGGCGTCAAAAATGTAAAAAAAAATAATCAAATAACCTCTTCTGATGAACTTACAGGCATATAATCTTAATGTTTGGTTGGTAGTGTCCTGGGATAGAGAATGAAAATGACCCTGACCTACTTTTAAGGTCACAAGCTTAACTACTTTGCTTGTACTAATAGGGCAAATGCTTAAAACAACTTAAAAAAGAGGCATATCATCATAATATTGGTCTGGTAGCTTCCTGGGATGGGTTTCTTAGCGCCTTCCCTGGCAACACCTTTTTTTTCTAGCTTTACTGTTCCCCCCAGGTGAGGAAGGCAATGGGTTCTGTCTTGAGGCCGGGACATACGTACCAGTCATTAAAATGGTAGTAGTGATTTCCCTGCTTAAGTTCAGCATTAAGGGGAATGGCAACAACTGTATCACCCGTTGTCAGTATAATGTGACCGGGCGGAATGCTGTTCTGGGTGCCTACAGCATAGTAAGTATATCAGTGAGATAGCACTATAAAGTCGGCATCAGATTCGTGCTATCACAAGGAGGCACATACACAACATACCCTGTCTCCGGCACACACACACACACACACACACACATGCATGCATTTACAACACACATGGAGGTACGTCCTTAAGGATGTACTCTTCTGAGGTTTGAGTCACGTTCAAGTCTCGTTTTGATCTTGTGTAACAGGTTTTTGTAATATTTATCAAATTATGATAGGTTTAATAGCAAACACACATCTGAAAAACATGTCAAAAAACTAGATGTCTGTTGTGTGTAAAAAAAAATTAACAAGAATTTGAAAAAAAATGACCAATTTCGCGGCCATTTTGAAAAAGTGTATTTATGTGAATTTCTTGCGCTTCACAAAGGGCAAAATTTCACCTTTTTTGACACTAGATTAATCACTTAAATTGTCGTTGTGTCACCATTTTTAAATGTAGCAGGTTCAATTTTGCTGTACAACTTTATAATGTTCAATACGATTATAATAATATGCAAAAAAGTAGTTATATATTATTAGTAAAAAAAAATCCTATTAGGGTAACTGAAGCACTTTTGATTTTTGACCCCGAAAAAGGTGAAAAATAACACAAATAATAATGGGACAAAAAAAGAAGCACACCGACCCCCCATTTTTGTGGCTGTTTTAGAAAGAGAAACACATTTTCTTTTGATTCATTGAATACCAAAAAAAGTTTAATACAGGATTTTTTTTATATCGAGCGTTAAATCTGCAAAAAATGGTGAAAAAATTTGCATTTTTCATTAAAAAAATAAGGGGTAGGGGTAACTAAAATCGCATTTCTGAGTAAAATGAATAAGATTAAGAAATTTTACTTCTATAATTTAAAAGAAAATAATATTTTTATCAATTCTACAAACATTCATACATATCTGATAACACACTTGGAAGAAATTGTATGAATTTGTTCTGCAAATGGTCAAACCCCGAAAATTCACCTAAAATCACCTATTGTGTTAAATTGGTTTCTTTGACCGATCATAGCACAAAAACGAACACACGGACATATATATTTTTTTGCATTTTCTACTATGCCATTATCTCCTTTTTCCAAAAATCAATATAAGAAAAAAAGTTTAATACAGGAATTTTTTGACTTCTCAGAGGTGTACATCCTTGAGTGATTTGGTTTGGTTTGGTTTAATTTTGTTTAACGTCCTATTAACAGCTAAGTTCATTTAAGGACGTGCCACCATGTGTGTAGTGTATGCGTGCTTGCGTGTGTGTATGCAGGAGACCGGGTATGTTGGCGTGCTTGCCTCCTTGTGATAGTGCAGATCTGATGCCGACTTTATAGTGCTATTTCAATGAAATACCATGCCGAAGGCACCCAGAACAGCATTCCGCCCAGTCACATTATACTGACAACGGGTGAACCAGTTGTTACCATTCCCCTAAATGCTGAATGTTAAGCAGGGAATAACAACTACCATTTATAAGGACTTTGGTGTGTCCCGGCCTTGGAACATAACCCATTGCCTTCCTTACCTAGGCGAACGCTCAACATTAAGGCTAAAAGTGAGGTGTTTACAAGCAAGGTGCTAGGAAATAAAAGGTAGCTAGAAGTAGAAATTAAGATTAAGATCCCATATATTGCAATGGGTGCATCAGATTTATTTTGGTCGCTTTTGTGTCCCCAAATAGAGGACACAAATCCCCAATTCTACAGGGGGTTGCCACATTAGTCGCCTCCTATGATACATGCTGTGGGTAACAGCAGGTGTATTCTTTTCCCGATCCCCCACCTGCAGGGGTGGCCTTAAATGACCTTAGCTGTTAAAAGGACATAAAACCTTATAAACCCAAACCAATCCCGAGATGGAGCCAAACAAAGCTTGTGCATTAAAATGACCACGACCTTCTTTCAAGGTCACAAAGGGCAAATAAGGCAAAAACTGCAAACAACTTTGAATGACTTTGTTAGACTTTCAAGCTAGTTAAGGTAACTGGGGTTAAATGTGTTAAAATCTAGAGCGATTGGTAAGGATATTTATCCTGTAGCTTAATTAAGACTCATTAAATATATATTCAGCTTAAAAGTATAAGAATAATAGCAGGTGAGCGATGCATGTCCTCTGGGCCTCTTGTTTTAAGCCCGAGTCGTTACTGTAATGATATAATACTGAAGAATGATTTTGTGTAATTGAAAATGGAACATATAGCTTACATCACCAACACAATTCTGTGTATATGCCAGGGCTTAAACCCTGTCCCCAACACATGATTTTTACAACCTGGTGAAAATGTATCTTCCGTCCCTTTTGATGACAAGGAGAGTCAATCTATTGTGTACACTTAATTTTAAGAATTTCCAAATACAAGTTTGTAATAAAAATATTAAAATACAGATTTGTAATAAAATTATTAAAATGTAGTTTTGTAATATGAAATATCCAAAATAAGATTTGTTATTTTAAAATAATCAGTAATAGATATGTAATAAAGATATCCAAATATGGATTTGTATTTAAACTATCCAAACACAGATTTCTGTGAATTTCTCCAGAGGAATGTCTTGATTCAATTAATCAAAACTTTTTAATTTTTATCCAAAACCTAGATGGATGCTGCTATTCAGCAAGAACTAGACAGGAATGATGACCACGTTTATGAGAATACAACGAATGTAGTGCGATCTGTGATGTCACTGACCAGGGTAGCACCCTCAATAAGGCCTGATGAATATGTTGACTTAGTTAAGGTACAGTATTTATAGAAATGCTTATGCACTTCACAGATTGTAAAGTTTGTTTCCCTTATAGAGTACACATAATGATGATTATAAGATTTTTTTGGCTGTTTAACTTACAGTGATCTCCAGCATTTCAGCTCTGACAACTATGATAGAACATGATAGAAAATTAATATTTCAAAAATCTTCTTATCCACACTCAGATGTACTACATACAGTACAGTCAATTTTTCTACATGGATGGAAAGATCATCAGGGGCTTTATTTAAATTGCTGGAAATTATGCAAACCTAGTCAGAATCATCTTTTGTGGAAGTGGGTATCAAATTCTTGAATTGGAATTCTTGCCCCAACCCCAGGGGCCAGTACGGAGCCCCAAAGGGAAAGTTAGCCAGTATAACTTTATATAGTCTCAGAAAAGACTTATTCGAACTTGGTATGATTAAATTGAAGTTAAATTGTATCAGAAAGTAAGGTCCTGACCTATTTTCCTGTTTTTAAAGTTATTTTCCATTGGCAATATGACAAGTATTGTATTTCACTTTGTTTACATGCTGATTTCCACATTACACATCTCAACAATGAAATTAAGCAACCTCTAGTATAACTCAGGTGACCATTAAGGCCCTTTGGCTTCTTGTTTATTTTATTCTCAAAAAAAACTGGGTATTTTGGATTAATGTAAAGACTGTCGGCCCATTTGAGTAAATAAACAGGAGATCCCAGTGGGATCTTGGCACCAGTATCTTCATTTGTTCTGTGTCAGTTTAATCTTTTCTCTTATCTGTTTACCTCGCAGCCATCTTGCTCTTCTGATCAGTCTCAAACATTAACATGCATAATTAGGGAACCTACATATTTAATTTGACAAAAATCCTTCCAATACTTTCTGAGAAAATAGCAATAGAAAAACTTAAACTGTAACAAAATGGCCGTCTGGCCGCCATCTTGGTTTTCAGATCAGTCCAAAATTTCTATATACATAACTAAGAACCAAGAGGAACCATCATGTGAATTTGAGAAAGATTCCGCAAATACTTTTTGAGAAATAAAGCTAACAATCTTTTACTTCCAAATTCATTATGTTTTCTCTTCAGTCCTAAATTTTTATTTGCATCACTATGGACAATAGCAAACCTTCATGTGAAATTTGAGGAAGATCCAATAAGAAATAGCGCTAACAAACTTAACCTCTCAAATTAAAGATGGCTGCCTGTCGGCCATCTTGATATTTTTATCAGTCCCATAATTTGATATGCGTAACTAAGGACTAAGTGGAGCCTTCATGTGAAATTTGAGAAAGACCTATCCAACACTTTCTAAGAAAAAGCGCTAACAAATTTGAACTCTCAATTCAAGGTGGCTGCCTGTTGGCCATCTTGGTTTTGTGATCAGTCCCAAAAATTCAGTATGCATAACAAGGGGCCATTGGGAACCGGCATTTGAGAAAGATTTCTTCAGTTCTCTGAGAAATAGTGCTACCAAAAAGTGTTTATGGACGGGCGGAATGACAGATAGACCACAGACAGAAGATGCTTTGAATAGATCATGGGCTAAAAAGTGTTTTCCATTCTGGATAATTGAAAAGACTATCGGGGCATACGGGGTAAGGAAAAAAGCACGAGGCATTCCTGGTTGATGAAAAGATCATGTATTATTTGCTCACCTGCCCGAACGCCTAGGGTGATGATATTTGACCAGAAGCAAACTGGGATGAAGGGTTACCAAGTTTGTTCAAATGAATGACCTTCACTTATATTCAAGGGGCACATGGGTCAATTGTCTAAAAAAACACTTTTAAACAACTTCTTCTGAATAACCAAAAGGCCCCGGATGTTTATATTTGGCCAGTAGCATGCCGGGATCAAGGGCTACCAAGATTGTTCAAATAAATGACCTTGACCCACTTTCAAGGTCACAGGGGTAAAATGTCTTAAAAACTTCAAACAACTTCTTCTCAATAACCAAAAGGCCCAGGGTACTGATATTGGGCCTGTAGCATGCTGGGATAAAGGGCTACCAAGTTTGTTCAAATGAATGACCTTGACACACTTTCAAGATAACTGGGGTCAGATGTCTTAAAAACTTCAAACAACTTCTTCTCAATAACCAAAAGGCCCAGGGTACTGATATTGGGCCTGTAGCATGCTGGGATAAAGGGCTACCAAGTTTGTTCAAATGAATGACCTTGACCAATTTTCAAGGTTACATGGGTCAAATGTCTTAAAATCTTCAAACAACTTCTGTTCAATAACCAAAAGGCCAAGAGTACTGATATTGGGCCTGTTGCATGCTGGGATGATCGGCTACCATGTTTGTTCAAATGGATGACCTTGACCCACTTTCAAGGTCACTGGGGTCAGATGTCTTAAAATCTTCAAACTACTTCTTCTCAATAACTAAAAGGCCCAGGGTACTGATATCGGGCCTGTAGCATGCTGGAATGAAGGGCTACCAAGTTTGTTCAAATGAATGACCTTGACTAATTGTCAAGGTCACATGGGTCAAATGTCTTAAAATCTTCAAAACAACTTCTGTTCAATAACCAAAAGGCCCAGGTTACTGATATTGGGCCTGTAGCATGCTGGGATAAAGCACTACCAAGTTTGTTAAAATGAATGACCTTGATCCACTTTCAACCTAATGTCCTTGTTCGACAATCAAGGTCACAGGCGTCATATGTTTAAATCTTTTAATAGGTTCTTATGAAATCTTAAGATTACAAGTGTGAGATTAATACCAGGTGAGCGATGCAGGCCCATTGGGCCTCTTGTTTTAAGTTATGACCCAGGGACTATGTCTCTACGGGTGGGGCTAGACCATAGACCATGTGCATTGAAGCAAATGTGCATTCTTCTCTTTATACTCAGCAATTGTATATATGGTTATAAAGTGGGAATCTCAACCAAGTAATAAACCTTTTTTGACCCTACTCCTTAGCCCGAGGGGTCAGCCCCACCATTTGTACAATTTTGAATCCCTGCCTCCCATGAATGCTTTTGATAAAATATGATTGATATGCAGTGCATAGTTCTACAGAAGAAGTTGTTTGTAGCAGTATAGCCAAATTGCCCCCTTTTGGGCCTGCCCCTCAGCCCCCTGGGGGGTCAGCCACACCATTTGTACAATTTTGAATCCTTGCCTCCCATGAATGCTTTTGTCAAATATGATTGATATCCAGTACATAGTCTACAGAAGAAGTTGTTTGTAGCAATATAGCCAAATTGCCCCTTTTTTGCCCCGACCCTCTGGGGGGTCAGCCCTACGATTTGTACAATTTTGAATCCCCACCACCTAGGGATGCTGCCAGTCAAATATGGTTGATATCCATTACTGAGTTCCAGAGAAGAAGTCCCTTAAAGCAATAAAGCCAAATTGCCCCCTTTTGGCCCTGCCCCTCAGCCCCTTGTGGGGTCAGCCCCATTATTTGTACAATTTTGAATCCCCACCACCTAGGGATGCTGCCAGTCAAATATGGTTGATATCCATTACTGAGTTCCAGAGAAGAAGTCCCTTAAAGCAATAAAGCCAAATTGCCCCCTTTTGGCCCTGCCCCTCAGCCTCTTGTGGGGTCAGCCCCACGATTTGTACAATTTTGAATCCCCACCACCTAGGGATGCTGCCAGTCAAATATGGTTGATATCCATTTCTTAGTTCCAGAGAAGAAGTCGCTTAAAGCAATAAAGCCAAATTGCCCCCTTTTGGCCCTGCCCCCCAGCCCCTTGTGGGGTCAGCCCCATTATTTGTACAATTTTGAATCCCCACCACCTAGGGATGCTTCCAGTCAAATTAAGTTAAATTCCAATCAGTGGTTAAGAAGAAGTCGTTTAAAGCAATTGTTGACGTACAGACGACAGACGCCACGGTATGGCATAAGGACCAGGTGAGCTAATTAAGGGCTACCAAGTTTGTTCAAACAAATGACCTTCACCCATTTTCAAGGTCACAGCGGTCAAATATGTTTAAAACCTTTAAACAACTTCTTCTCACTAACCATGAGGCCTAAGATGATGGTATTTGGTCAGTAGCATGCTGACTTAAAGGGCAACCCAGTTTGTTCTAACGAATGCTTGACATATATTCATGGTCGCAGGGGTGAAATATGTTTAAAATCTTTAAACAACTTCTTCTGAATTATTAAGAGGCCTAGGGTTTTGATATTTTGCCAGTTAGATGCTGGGATGAAGGGCGACCAAATTTGTTTAAATGGATGACCTTAGCTCATATTCGAGGTCACAGGGATCAAATGTGTTTCAATCTTTAAATGACATGTTCTGAATATTCAAAAGGTCCAGGGTAATGATATTTAGCCAGAAGCATGCTGAGACAAAAGGCTACAAAACTCTGTTCAACTTAATGTCCTTGTCGACTTTCAAGGTCAGAGGCTTCATATGTTTAAATCATTTAATAGATTCTAATGAATCAAACACAGATATTTTGCCTGTAGCTGTATATTGGTCCACTTTTAAGATTACAAATGTGAGATAAATACCAGGTGAGCGATTCAAGCCCATTGGGCCTCTTATTTATTTGTAGCTTTATTTTAGATCAATTTTAATGTTACAAGTGTGAGATTAATAACAGGTGAGCGATGTAGGCACATTGGGCCTCTTGTATTCAAGTTAACAGGGGTCAAATATGTGTAAAATCTTAAATCGACTTCTCCTGAATAACCATGAGGCCCAGAATGTTGATATTTGATCAGTAGCATACTAGGATGAAGGGCTACCAAGTGTGATCACTGGGCATTCCGAGTAATAACAATAAAAGCATTTGGCATTCTTGGTGTATTAAGACTATCAGGGCATTCCAGGGAACATGAAACCATCAGGTCATTCATAGCTTGTATATGCAATTGCCAACTGCATTCAGTAAGTGTATTGTAACAATGTGAAAATTAGGTAAGAAATAACAAGAGATCCCAGAGGGATCTTGGCGCCCACCTTTGTACCATCTTCATTAGTTCTTTGTCAGTTCGATCTTTTCTCTTCTTTTCTAATCTGTTTGATCGAGTCATGTTAACAGTAAATGCACCTTGAGGTAACTTTTGATCTAAACTTAATACTGATGTGTATGAAAGCCAACCTTCAAAGTGAGTTTGTCATTTCACATATTTACTAGTACAGTACTTAAATTAAGTGAAAGAAATAGAATCGATCATTGCAATATGAGAAAGATCTGTTTAGTTCTTCTTTAAATCCATTTTGTTTTTATGATCAGTCTCAAAATATAACATGCACAACAAGAGATCAAGGGGAACCTACATATAAAATTTGAAAAAAAGATCCCTCCCATACTTCCCGAGAAATAGCGATAAGAAACTTTCACTATCAAAATCCAAGATGGCTGCCTGTCGGCCATGTTGTTTATCCGATCAGTCTCTAAAATTGCCCTGCACAGCTAGGACCAAGGGGAACCTACATATAAAATTTGAGAAAGATCCCTCTGATACTTCCCAAAAAATAGCGATAACAAACTTTCTATATCTAAATAAAAGATGGCTGCCTCTCGGCCATGTTGTTTATCCAATCAGTCTCAAAAAATGCCCTGCACAGCTAAAATCCAAGGGGAACCTACATATAAAATTTGAGAAACATCCCTCTGATACTTCCCGAGAAATAGTGATAACAAACTTTCTTAATCAAAATCAAAGATGGCTGCCTGTCGGCCATGTTGTTTATCCGATCAGTCTCAAAAGTTGCCCTGCACAGCTAAGGACCAAGGGGAACCTGCATATAAAATTTGAGAAAGAACCCTCAAGTACTTCTTGAGAAATACGGATAACAAACTTTCACTATCAAAATCCAAGATGGCTGCCTGTTGGCCATGTTGTTTATCCGATCAGTCTCAAAATTTGCCCTGCACAGCTTTGGACTAAGCAGGAACTTACATATAAAATTTGAGAAAGTTCCCTCTGGTACTTCTTGGGAAATAGCGATAACAAACTTTCAATATCAAAATCCAAGATGGCTGCCTGTCGGCCATGTTGTTTATCCGATCAGTCTCAAAAGTTGCCCTGCACAGCTAAGGACCAAGGGGAACCTGCACATAAAATTTGAGAAAGATCCCTCTGGTACTTCTTGAGAAATTCCGATAACAAGAATTGTTTAAGAACGGACCACGGACGCAGGGTGATTTGAATAGCCCACCTTCAGATGATGGTGGGCTAAAAACAACTGCAAGGGCATATAAAACTCTTAGTGTTGCTTTAACAATGTTTCATGTTGTTGTGTTGTTGCAGGATACTGGAATACAACTACGAGGACTTCTAACCAGTGCTGACGACTTTACAGCAACTGTTCCCAAGGGACAGGATACTGAGGTAAGCTGTTAGTTTACTTTGTGAAATGATAGACTTTATGAAAGCCTCTTTTCATTGTAGTGTTATTTTTGTAGCAAGTTGTATCAGGAATTTGTGATTGAAATACAACAGTGCTGTTCATGTACTCATAAAACTATAGTCTCAACTGCAAATTCAGCATTGTGCGCATATATGATATAAAATACTGCATAAGTACAAGGCTTGTAACATACAGTTTTAGCATGAAACAATACTGTCAAGCTTAAAAGAAGAAAAGGAATTTGATTTGATTAACAGTTAACTTTTAAAAAGAGTGTGAATTCTATGTTGAATTACAGCTAGGAAACTAGTATATCTATAATTGACTCAAAGTTTGATTATAAATTAAAGTTCCATTACTTATTGTTGATATTTTGTTATTAGATTCAGATGGCACAGAAAGTTTTGTCAACAGACATGGCATCGCTGATCAACTCCATGAAACTTGCTCAACAATATAGATCAACAGCATTAGAGAGTGAATACAGGAAAGGAATGCTCAAAGCTGCTCATGTTTTAGCAATGGACTCTAAAAACCTTCTGGATGTTGTGGACAGAACTCGGCTGAAAATGCTTGCTCTAAGCTGATCCCAGGTGAGGCAGCGTCTGCCCAATAGCCTACACACCATGGTTTTGTTGTTGTTGTAATGGAGTGAAGGCTTTCTTGGATGGCGCCTGCCCACCATTTCTGTAAGGGAGAAAGTGACTAAAAGATTTTGTGCAATATTGTAATTATATATAAAAGTCATATGATGTTCGTGTACGAATATGACATACAACTGTAGAATTTTATCAGCTGCTTTTGTCACATGACCTACATGAGAAATAGGCAGTGCATTACATAGGGTGAAACAGGCCTGATGATGTCTCGTGAACTGAAACCCAGCTGATGGCTGCAGGTCCTTTGGATAAAACTCTAGTGGTTGAATGTTGATCCTGTAGCTGAACCTTGTGCGATGACTGCAGGTCAAGGTGATGAATTCCTTTCCTTTTACAAAAATTGTTTCATAAGGACATCATTGAAAATATTTAAAAATATTGTCAGACACTGTCTTTAACAGATATGTACAACTTTGACAGGTATGACGCAGCAGGTATTGATGTATGATACAGCCTGATGGTTGGCTGGGTAGACTGTAAAGGGTACGGTAAATGAGATGATATACACGGCCAGGCTGTACTAGTATTCTGTAACATGTGTTTTACCTGTTACTAAATTATTAATTTTCTATAACTGATGTCAAGTATAATAGTAAGACTGTATCACAAATCCTATTTAAATGCTGTATTTGTTATTTAATGAAACAAGAATAAAGCAAGAAATGATTACAAAGAAATTAAAAATTTGTCACTTATCCTTTATATGATTAATGTTCATCGACGCACATGATGGAAAGGCCAATTGTATTAACAAGATGTTAATAATCTGGAAAAAAAATACCAGTGTTTTTGAACTTTTAAGTGGAAAGTGGAAAACTCATATTGGAGAATTACATCTCTTTCAAGTATGCCCACCTGTTCATTATTAAAGTGTATCGAGTACAGCTTAACCACACCTCGGAACATCACGACTCTTGAACCTGTGTTTTTAGCTCACCTGGTACAAAGTGCTGATGAGACTATAGCGTGGGGTCTGTCCATCCGTCAAATTCCTTTCAAAATATTTCTAAACAGCCAGTATGCCTAAGGTGAAGGGCTGCCAAGGTCAGTGGTTTTTCTCCGAAACTCCAGCTTTCCTCCACCACCAAAACTTGGCTCGTCCTTAAATGACCATAGCTGTTAATAAGACGTAAATCACAAACCAAACCAAGTTTGTTCAAATGAATGACCATGACACAATTTCAAGTCCACAAGGGTCAAATGTGTATAATTGTATATAGACAAGGTTTGTTTAAAGATACAATAGAGCTGTCACAATAAATTGAATCACTGACCTGGATAATAAAGCAACCATGGAAAATTATTCTTGTTACACAATACTGCAGCTATTTCCAATTATTGTCTGTCTTTCAGCAACATCTGTCCCTCATTAGATCCCTCCTTTCTGCACCAATGAATTAGGGTGGATTAACCTCAATGGTATTGTTATCGCCTTTTGTCCGGCGGCTGCCGTCATGCGTCCATAAACAATTTACATTTTCGACTTCTTCTCCAAAACCCCTGAACCAATTTCAATGAAATTATGCAGAAACCTTCCATGGCCAAAGGTCAACAAAAATAGTGGCCGATTTGGTCCCCAGCCCCCAGGGGCCTGAGGGGTGGGGCCAAAAAGGGTCACATTGACTAAAATTTCAAACATCTTCTTCTCAAGACCCAGATATGGTAGAATCAAATACTCTTCATAGATGGAAGGGTCTTAAGGTGCTTTACCAAAATTGTGAATTTCTGACCCTGGGGTATCACGTTTCCCCCTGGGGAGGGGGTAAACTTTACTATAGTTTATATAGGGAAATCACATTTTGGACCAACATTTGTTTAGTTTCCATTGGAAGTAATTCAATTTAGGTTAGCATTATCAGTATGAGGTAGCAGTTTGATAGTATGCACATATCAGCCCTGACTAACCCCCAAGAGTATTTGATTCTACCATATCTGGGTCTTGAGAAGAAGATTTTTGAAATTTCAGTCAATTCGACCTTTTTTGGCCCCTCCCATTAGCCCCGGGGGGTCAGTCAGGGCTCATATGTGCATACCATCAAACTGCTACCCAATACTGATAATGATTACCCAAATTGAATTATTCCAAAATGTGATTTCCCTATATAAACTATAGTAAAGTTTACCCCCTCCCCAGTGGGAAACGTGAGGCCCAAGGGTCATGAAATTCACAATTTTGGTAAAGCACCTTAAGACCCTTCCATCTATGAAGAGTATTTGATTCTACCATATCTGGGTCTTGAGAAGAAGATTTTTGAAATTTCAGTCAATTCAACCCTTTTTGGCCCCACCGTTCATAATTGTGAATTTCTGACCAAGTTTGAAAAAAATCCATCCACTGGTTCTTGAGAAGTTGAAAATGTAAAAAGTTTTCGGACGACGGACGGAAAGCGATTAGAATAGGTCACTTGAGCAAAGCTCAGGTGACCTAAAAAGTTGACAGAGAACGACAGACGCTGCACCATGGCTTATACCCATAAGCACACTTGTCATTCGGGCAGGTGAGCTATTAAAACTTATAATTCTTACATAATTAGAAGTGCTTTCAATGACAGATTAACTCATATTATGGCCAGGGATATTTTTAACAGGGGATCCAAACCTCAAATTCACCTATTGGGCCCGCACATCAGCTTCCAGAGGGGCCACCCCCACCGTTTATACAAAATTGAGTCCCCTTTGCCCAAAGATGCTCCAGGCCCCATTTGGATAAAATCCTTTCTAAGGTACAGAAGAACAAAGATTTTAAAGGCTTAAACCTCTAATTCCCCTATTGGACCCCGCCCCTCAGCACCCAGGGCATTCATAGACTATATGAATGCCAACTGAATTTGATAGGATTATATAGTGGCAATACCATACGATGGTAAATTTACAAAATTGAATCCACATTGCCCAAAAAGGCTTCAGGCGAATTTTTCGTCAAAATCAATACAGCTGTTCAGGACGAGTAGCGTTTTAATGGAAAAGTTGACTGTCGGAAGCCCGGTACGACATAAGCTCACCATGGTCCTTTGGAACATCTCGCATACAGGCATTTTGTATTGTGTCGCAAAACAGTAAATATAGCTGTGTTGCAATATTTTTCAATTTTGTTTTAGTTTTATGACTGCAAGTTCTTTAAACTTTAAAAATAGGCACTGTTGAACAGGTGCATAAAACGCCAGCAGCATGCTTGATATAACAGAAATACAACCTAGGTTCTCATTTATGACAAATTACGAAACAGTACAGCAAGTAATGGTCAATGTTTGGCATAGCAGCCATACATATCAGAAATATGTCTTCTTTATACATGTTGTAACCCGAAGCATATCATTATATTGATTCCAGGTCATAATCCAAAGTTTGCAGGCATGGCAATGTGACATTTTGAAAGTGTGTCGGGCCTTAATTCTAACTTTTGCAGGGATCTGTGTCGCATTATAGAATTGCTCCCTGGGACCCAAGGGAATGTCATGACCTTGACCCAAGCTCATATTTCTAAGGGTAAGGTTGTGGAGCAACGGTGTCTTGAAATTGTGTCCTGTAGACCGACAGATGGGTGGACAAATCCATAGCACATGTATATTGAGGCATAAATACAACTACAAATGTAAAAATAAATGGTGTGTATGTCATAAAGTGGCAACAATTATATTGAGATTGAATCAAAAGAAATTAGGTGAGCTAACAAGGTGTGCACAAATGTCCATTCATGGATGGAACAAATCAATACCACCATCAAAGGATCTTAAATAGATCTTCAAAAGATTTTTTCATTTTCCTTACAGGTACTATTACCCATACCCAAAATCCAAAACAGAAATCTAATACATTAATTTAAACCTCCTTACGTTACATGTCATTTGCCATTATGAAAAATGTTTTTGTAGAAGAGTTGCATAACTATATGCAAAATGATAACACGAAGGCCCAGAGGGCCTGTATCACTCACCTAGATATGTCTAAAGTACTTGATATGAAGAAAAGATATAGCACTCCATGGTAGGTACTGTACGTACGCATGAAATTTAAGGAAGATCCATCCAGTACTTCTGTAGATATAGCGAAAACAAACTTCAAATGTCAAAATAAAAGATGGTGGCCTTCGTGGTATTCTTGTTTTAATGAATACACCCTAATAGTATACGTAGGAACAGGCACTTCTAGGTACCTTGATGGAGACAAAATTGGGATAAAATCCCATAATCCCAATGTAGAAGAAGGGGGGGGGGGGGGGGGGGGGGGGACGGACATACTGCCCTTGCCAACCGTTTATAAAATTGAGTCCCTTTGGCCTGAGGATGCTTTTCAGACTAAATTAGGATAAAATCCCTTAATCCTTAGAACTTTCATCCGGAGGATAACGAATACCCCCCACAGATGCTAGTAGTTTATAGTGACCTTGACATTGGGGTTTCCTGACAAGTGTTTTTACATAAAGGACCACAACTCCCTTAAAAAGTGTTGGAATCTGAAATCAAAATGCTGGTGGACAACTCTATAATATACTTATCATTCAAGTGTAATTTCAATAAAATTTGCCTATTAGTTAAGATGCAGTTTTCCGGACAAGTTACTGTGGACAACACGCATCCAGACAGGGTGATTCCAGTATACCCCGGGTCCCTAACTTCGTTGCGGAGGGTATAAAAAGTTTTACCTTTATTCCACCTATTGGGCCCCACTCCTCTGCCCCCAAGGGAGCCACACTCACAGTTAATACAAAATTGAGTCCCCTTGGCCTAAGGATGCTCCAGACCAAATTGGGATGAAATGGTAGAAGAAGATTTTTTTAGGTTTACCTCAATTTTCTCTATTTGGACCCAACGGGCGCAACACCCACTGTTTATACAAAATTGAGTGCCCTTGGCCTAAGGATGCTCCAGACCAAATTTAGTGACGGACGACAGTCGCTGCATCATGGCATAAGCACACTTGCCCTTCAGGCAGGTGAGCTAAAAACTTATAATTCTTACATAATAAGAAATGCTGTACAGATATTTTTAACAAGAATTCCACGGAAGTGGATGTGTCGCCTGCGCAGGAAGCTGGGAGATTGTGCTTAGCACTGCATGAAGTTTGAGTTTGATCGGCCCAAGGAAAGTTATCGCACGAAAACAGATTTTCTATCTATAGTAACAGTGACTTTGACCTTCGGACCTGAAAAGTAATCCCAAGCAAGCACTTGGTAAGGAAGCACTGCATGAAAGTTTGAGTTTGATCGGCCCAAGGAAACTCAAGTTATCGCACGAAAACAGATTTTCTATTTATAGTAACAGTGACCTTGCCCTTTGACATTCGGACCTGAAAAGCAATCCCAAGCAAGCACTTTTGGTAAGAAAGCAATGCATGAAGTTTGAGTTTGATCGGCCCAAGGAAACTCAAGTTATCAAGTTACCACGAAAACCTCTGCGCGGCCGCCGCCGACATAGCAATACCTATGTGTCACAAGCTTTTCGCAGGCGACACAAAAATGGGATCAAGGGGGGACATACATATAAAATATTGATAACTTCAAGATGACTGTCTTTTCGCTATCCTGTTTTTAGGTCACCTGAGCGTTAACATTTTACATTTTCAACTTAAGAAGGCTCCACCCTTTCGCAATTAGCCAGCAGAATTCAATGAAAGTTTCACATAATGGTTATCTCACTATGTAGAGTTGATTTTATGAAAATCTAAGCATTCCGATAAAC